GGCCGGCGCCGGCCGCGGCGGCGCCGGCCGACTCGGTCTCCTCGCTCTCATCCATCGCCTCAACCGGCCCCCTGGGCTGTGCCGGCGCACCAAACGGCGCCGTGGCGGCGGCTGGGTGATGCTGCTGCTGCTGCTGCTGCTGCGGCGGCGGCGGCGGCGGGGGGAAGCCGAGTGCGCCAGGCAGCACCCCAAAGTAGTGGTAAGCCGTCTGGGGATTGGCCTCCAGGAACGCCTGGAACTGGGCCCCCGCCGCAGACACAACGGCCGCCGCGGCGGCCGCGGCAGCCGCGGACGCGGCCGCGGCGACAGCCGCGACGGTCGCGTCCGTCACGCCGCTGGCGGCGAGCTGCTCGTCGAGTTCCGCAGAGGCGAGGCCGGGCGCGCCCACGCCCGCGCCCGCGGCGGCCGCGAGGCCGGGGCCGCCGGCGATTGCACGCGCCAGCTGTTGCTGCGCGCCCGCCGCGCCGAGCGCCAGCAGCGCCGCCGGCGCGTCGGCGTCGGCGCCGGCGCTGGCACCCTCGCCCGCGGGGTGGTTCGCCTGGGGCGGCGGCGAGGGCAGGCTTGGGGCGTCGAGGCTGGCGTTGGACAGGCCCGCGGTGGTGGCTGTGGCGGTGAGGCTGTCGGGGTCTTTCCGCGGGTAGGGCCGCTGCGGGCGGCGCTTGGGCCGCGGGGGCGGGATCGCCACGTCATCGCCTGGTGTGGTGGTTTGGGGGTCGCGGCGTGTGGGTTGAGGCGGAAGTGGGTCAAGACGTGTGGTTGTGGATTGGACAGACGATGCGAAGAAGGCGGGTACCTGTAATGATGGATGCAACGAGTGCAGGTGCGCACGCGCGCGAGAACACTCACACATACACACGCGCGCGCGCGCGCGCGTGCACGTCCACAAACCCACACCCTCTCTCTCACTCTCGCGAGCCCCACAACACACACACACATGTGCGCGCATTCGCGCATGCACGTGGGCAAAAACACGCGCCCGCGCGCGTGCACACGCACATGCGCGCTCAGGCGCGCGCGGCGGCCCACCGTGTGCCGCGCGTCCCCCCTGCTCCTTGTTCTTCTCGATTTTGTTGAAAAACTTCTGGGCATGGCTGCGGACCTGGACGGCAGTCTTGGTGCCGATATGCTCTGGGGGGTTGCAGATTGAGGTGCGGTGGGGGGGGTGAGGGGTTGATTTGGTGCGGTGCGTAATGGTGCACCGGGGCTGCGGTCTTGGTGCCGACATGCTCTCTTGGCTGTGCACAGGGTGGGGCGGGACACAGGTACGGCAAGCGGCAGATGTAGGCAGAGCAGGCGCGCGAGCAAGTCCGACGCAAGCCAAGGGCGCCGCGCGCTCGCGGCCCCAGCGGCTGCCCAGGCGCTTTTGGGGGGAGGGGGAGCGGGGCCGGCGCACCCTCGATCTTCTTCCAGCTGCGGCCGTGGAGCCTTATGGCCTCAACGAAGCGCGCGTGCTCGTCCGCGGTCCACTTCTCCCGCGCCTTAGTGATTGTGTACGGCTTGCGCACGCGCACGCCCCCGCCGCCGTCGAACGCCGCCTGCTGCTGCATGGGAGTTGCGCGCTGGGCGGAGCCAGGGTGGCGGGCTGTGGGGCCTACGTTTAGCGAAGGCGCGATCAAGAAGGAGTTGGGAAAAGGGGCGGGGAAGTGTGGCGCACGCACATGTGTGAGGGGAGGCCAGGGGGTGCAGGGGGCGGGCTTGCATGCGTGTGGGGGATGCCGTTGCACCATGCCGAGATAGTTGCCAGCGCAGCGCCCGCGGGACGGCGCGCCAGCACGCCGCGGCAGCGCAGGCGCGGGGCCTCGATAGCTCATGAGGGTCTTAGAAGGCTTTAGAAAGGCGATGGGACATAAAGCGCTGCCCATATGCGCGCATCGGCGTCGCGCCGCAACGGCGCCGCAGATTCCGCCCTTTTTATCTCGCGTGCGCCGCGACGCATGCGGCTGCACCGGGCCGCAGGAGTGCCAAGCACAGCACTAATAATATCTATCAAATATTAATATTCGAGAAACAAGGGACCTACCGCCTGTGGGGCCTCGAGCGGAGCCTGCGTCGATAAAGGAGCACGCAACGACACTGTGCGGCCCGCTAGTGGCAGCGTACGATTCGTTATATGACTTTTACACAAATCTATCTCGCTGGGCTGGCGTTTTGCTCGTGTTAGCCGTGAACGGTGGGGGTCTTTTTCAATTGTGCCGGTGCGACGTAAGAAGTATGCATTCAAATAGGATTGTTTTGCTAGACAGTTGTTCTGGTAATGGCGTATGGCGTTGTACGTTCATGTGAGTGTGCGCCGGTTCGCTTGGCTCATCGACCATGTTTGGTCTAAGGAGTGCTGTCATATAGATAATCGATAGTGTTCTACTGTGTATTTCGTACGACGCCCAGCGTGGCGACCACGGCGGCGTGCCCGAAACGCCGATGTCGTCACACCGTACTGCTGTCAGCAATCTGGGCGCTTGTCATTGGGGCCAGCCGCCCGCTGCAACAGCGCATGGGCGACAATGAATTGCGATGCCACAGAATCCCAGCAAACGGGGGACAGAAAGTCCCGTTTTCAACTGGGCGTCAGCCCTACAAGCGCTGGGTGGGGCCGCACAGCCCGCGAGGGGAGAGGAGGGGCAATCGCAGCACGCACTGCATTTCGCTGCAGCGGGTCACACGCAGCCCCCCCCCCCCCAAAAACCACCTCTCTATGAACTCCAGACGCCCCTCCTCGCACAGCACCTGCCAGCGGCCGCTGGCCTATCCACCCCTCACCCCAGCCCCGACCCCCTTTCCCCAAGCATGCTGGTCGCTGTGAGCCCAGCCGGTGCACATAAAGTCCACAACACAGCGCACCGGACTCCGCTGATCGCGAGGGCCAGGGCTTCGCGCATAACAGCCTCAAGGCTGCACACACCCAAAAGCCAAGGCCCAGACGGGGCCGGCGCGGCAGCCCGCCAGGCCAGAAGCGCTGGGGCTCCCACGACATGGAGGATTTGGGTGCGGCCGTGCCCATCCCTGCCCGCGTGCGGGCGTGCATGGGCTGGAGCAACATGACAGCGGCAATCACGTACCCCGCGCAGGCGAACGCCGCCGCCTACAGCCCGGTAGCTGCAGGCTCAGCCGCCCGGACATAGTGATTGAGGAGCACACACCCGGCATGATGTTGCGCCGGAACACAGGCATGAGTGCCTGGGGGACAGCCTTGCGGCACTCATGCGGGCTTACCCTAGACCCCTGTTCGTGTGGAAGGTGCGTGCCCACAAAGGAATAATAGGGAATGAAATGGCCGCTGCCCTTGCTAAAGGGGTGGCCGACGGTACCCTTCAGGATAACACGTCATCGCTCGCTAGGGGCGGGGTCCTGCCCAAAGACAGGAACGCCGCCCCTCCTTGCAATAGACGGGGGAGGCTCATGTGGCTGTATACCCAACAAGACAGGAACGCAACAGACGGCGGTGCGGCACTGCCGCCTGACTGGCGCCCGCTGCCCAATGGGGGAGCTGCCCTGCGGTCCCACATTTGCAGCGCCCTCCAACTTGGCTACAGCGACGGGGAGGCTCAGTACTTCCGACTGTGGCATCGTGCCATGAGCACTACGCTGCACAGCTCCTCAAATTGCCACCTCACGCACCCGGGCTCCACCCCGCATAGTGAGGCATTGACATCCATGCGCATTCGCACTGGCACACTGTACACCAATAAGATTGGCCACAGGGACGGAAAGGCCCCAAACCCGCTATGCCCCCTGTGCGGTCAGATGGATGGGATAACTCACGCTGCCCTGGCCTGCAGGCGGGTGCACCCGCAACGCACAGCGCGTCACAATGCGGCTGGCCGCATCCTGCTGGCTGCACTTCTGCGCGGCGCGCTGGCAGGAGGGGTTAGGATGGCAGACGTGGGGCAGGGCTCCCACGACATAG